GCTGAAAATAAGAAAGCTGATATTTTATCCCCTCTTCTGGGCTCATTGACTTTTGCTGAATTTTGCGTAAGAAATCAATTTGTGTGATTGAAAGTACCAGTGGAGTATCATATAATGAATGGAAACAGTACAATCTGGAGACCTGGAGACCAGAAATTGGGTTATAGCTCTGCCACCATGTTTGCTTCATCTGTAGAACTAGGTGTTCTCTGGGCTTTTACCAGTAGGAAAAATCAAATTCTCCTGTGACTAGAGGTAATCAACAGTGGATCAGTGGGTGCTGAATCAGTGGAGGGGAGCTTCTTATTGAGTATCTCCTATGTTCTGGGCTCTATAGTATGTATTCATTGACTGTTAAGAAGCATAAGAGTCCTATGGTCAGACCATCTGTTTCCTATCCCATTTTCACTACTTTACCTGATGTGTGTCTCTAGGCAAGTCATCTAATCTATCTTTTGGTTTCTTCACCTATAAAATGGAGATAGTCATAATACTAATTTTCCTATAGCATGGGGATTATTAGTGCCCATCTCATAATGTTTTCAGGAGCACAAAGGAGTCAAGTCATGAGGTGCTTAGAGGAGTGCTTTTCATATGGGAACACTCAAACGAATATTAGCTATTATATACGTGTGTGTATTTGAATCTTCATAGTGATACATGCCTTTTTATGGTGGTATTATAATGATATTTTCTTAGTTTTACTAATGTTTTTCTTTTTGAAGAATGACAGAATTAAAATTTGAGATTTTTGTCAGCTACTGTTTCACAAAAATCCAGCTAAGTGCCTGCAAAACAGTAGATTCTGGTTGGAATGAAGAAATGAATAACTAAGATCAGAGACTGTTTGATACCGGGGTTCATATAACTAAGGATGACAAGGGTGAAAATGGATATATTCCAAGCAGGAAAAGTGTGTCTTTTATGTCTCTTTATTATTTTTAGATACTAACATCCCTGTCTTCCTTTGCTGATCAAAGGACCCTAGACTTTTCAGTTACATTTGGCCCTCACATTCTTATATTTACATTTGAAGTTATTTCTGGAAAGGGGCTGTTGAGCATTAATACTGCAGAAGTAATATATAGCACAGCTGTTAATAAAATAAAGTGAGGGGAAGTAGAGGGTTATAATCAATAGGGCAATTCAATATGGCTTGCAGAATTATCTTAATTCCAACTATCCCTTGGATCTAGTCGGTATGTAGAGATCTTAAAGTCTTGCAGGCTGAAAATGTAAAGGATACGGCATCATGATGGCACAACAGGTATTCTCAGCTCTTTTCCTTGTTGCTAAGTTATGGTTACTATGACAATCGTCACTAATACAACTGATTTGATTCCCATGAACAGAAAGACATTGTCCAAAAACTTTCGAAGGGTCTCTTTACAAAAATAAAGCTTTATCAATTTTCTACCACTTTCTTAAAATGTTTTAAATTGTTGAGTATCAAAAAAGATATAATTGAAATCAGACACATCATATTTGTTGGGAGTGGCTGTGCTAGATATTTTAGGTATGCCTGTTCACTTAATCCTTAATGAGAATCCCAGGAGTTGTATTTTATGTTAGTTTTGCAGATGAGTAAGCTAAGACACAAGGAGGTTACATTGTTTAAATGTGCACATCCAGCTAATAAGAGAGCTTGGGTATGAACTTCCTGTTTGTTCGAGGCACCCTCAGTGCCCGTGCAAATGAATAGATGATAGACGAAAAACACTAACTTTTGAGACAACATGTCAAACCTCATAAAATGTGTTGATAGTTTCACCTGATATATAAACAAATAACAGTTTATTCATATGGCTGTATTTATACATATTGTTCATATCTTACTTTGAAGTCAAAGCCTTTAAGGTAACCCATATTTTGCATACAACTACAAAATAAATAATGGAGGGCCCTGTGGCAAGGTTTAACTCAGGGTATAGTAGTTTAGGTTGCTGTGACGTTGATAATAGATGAGGGCTGGAATCAGCAACTGCATATTCTATTTGAGGAATTGCTAGAGGAAGGAGATCTGTAGGCGCATTCAGCCTGTGCTTCGAGCTTAAGAAGACTGAAAGGTGGCTGCGTTTCAGTAGCTAGTATCTGCTGTGGTGTAAGTGGAGTCCTTTTGCATCAGTCGACTTTTGATGTGTTAACAGACACACTGGCTTAAAACAACTGCCACATAACCAGCTCATGATCCGTGGGACAGGTGGGCAGTTCTGGTCTGGTCTGACTTGGCAGAACTCTTTCAGGCTTGCTTTTTATTTCAAGTCAACTGGCAGTTAGCTAGTGACCAGATGACCAAGAAGGGCCTCACTCAACAGCCCCTTTCCAGAAATAACATTCAGACACTGAGCCAGGATGAAGGAGGCCGTTGGGACACTCCTTGTTCCATAATTCACTAGGCTAGACGGTCTTCTTCACATTGTAACAGTCGCAGGAGTCCCACAGCAGCAAGTCCTCACATGTAAGTGCTTTTAAAGCCTCTTTTTTCTCACTTTAGTAATGTCTCCCTGGACAAAGCAGGTCCCAAGCCCACCCTAGTGTCAGTGTGAGAAGACACTTCCCAAGGCCAAGGAGGGTGAGAGATCATTTGTGGCCGTTTTTGCTGTCTTACTACATCTTTGTCACAAATGTTGATCGGAATTGAAATGTATCAGATACTGATATTTGCTAAATTTAAGAGGGAAGAATAATTTCCATGATGAAAGGAATTCAAATTGAATGTAGCCCATGTTTCTCAGGGAGCTTAGGGACTAATAGCGGTAGATTGGTCAATTACTTTGAGTGGGACAAATGGTAGCAGAATGACATGGATGGAGAATGACAAAGCCAGGAGGTGTCTCATCCCTAACACCCATTGGCTGAGAGACTAAGATTGCTTAAGCTCTCTAAGCCTCTGTTCCTAATTCGGTAAAAGTAATGGTTAGTATCTATATTACAAAGCACTTTTCCTTTTTGTTTTTTTCATGTGTCAGTCTCCACTTTACCAATACTAAATATAATATTTCATAGCATTCTTTTGTAAGGATGAATGAAGTCATCTAGAAGGATAGGCTTGATAATCTGTAAACTATATAAATGTTACTTATTTCATTACATAGGACTTTTCTTTCCGAACCAAGCATTATAGTCCTCCCTGCTAGTCCCTGCACTCAGCTTTATTTGATATCATTTTGATCTTTTTAAGCAGTCATGAATTTAAAACTGGGGAGAGCAAAAAGACACGGAGACCCTTCAATAGAGTCAGTGGGATATTAAATTGGTAAAAATCAGTCAAGTTGGTAATATGTTCACTATATTACAATGATCTTATTTGGAAAGGCATAAGTTAAATATAGAAAGCTTTATGCTAATACTTGTCCTTCACAATATTTAGTAATTTTCCCTACTATATGTATTAATAAATATATATTTGCAATGGATATATATTTATATTGTCATTCGTAAGATGTAAAGTCAAGTATTTCCATTTTTACCAGATGTGCCTTTCAGTGAGTCATCACAGTTCTCTAAGCTTGTTTCCTTCTTTGTGGAACAGAGATAATGACCTCTCAAAGGACTGTTTGACGGTTAAAGTAGATCCTAAGAATCAAGTCTCTATCTAGACCAGCCTTAATTCAGAGAAGATACTTTAACTTTTCCCTTCCATAGTTCCTTCTCATTCAGACTTTGACATTTCTTCTTTCTCTGTTACAGGACTTGAGATAGTCTTAGAAGAATAACTTGGAGGGAAAGGTACTGTGTCTCCTTTGGGCTGTGCAGACCTAAAGGTGCCTGGGTGACTAATTGGTAAGAGGCCCCATGGCTTGTGCAGAGCCTGTCTCGGGATGCAGGGAGACCAATGCCTGCCTTCTACAGACCCACCCTGGATCCTTGCAAGAAACAGATTCACTGCTCACCTAGTGTGAGTCCCCCAGATGCTTTTATCAGCTGGTGACATATTTCAACTCTATTCTGACAATTTATCAGCCCAATCACAGATCGGTTCAATGTCTGGCAAAATAATGTTGTTAAAAATGCAGAGCTTGGCTGGGCTGCTTGGAAATGATGGTTCTCAATTTGATTTTTATTGATGGAAGGAAGCTCAGGCAAAGACATAAATAATAAGTTACAGTGACTGAGGAAAAACTTGGGGCTTCCAGTTAGACCTCATTACTCTGAGCAGTCTGAGTGGAAAAGAGCAGCAGGGGAGGCAGGACTGACTTCTCAAAGCAAGCAATAATAATGAAGTGAGCCTCTAATTAGTGGTCACCAGCTTTCCTGAAGAATCAGGACGGTTGAACTGGTGGGGTCCTAAGGATGTGTCTGTTAAGTCTTATGCAATTCACGGCACAAAGAACAGCAGTTTGAGAGCCTCACAAATTATTAGGCAGGCTTGAATTATCTGATTCCTTTTTGAGTTTTTGGACCTCAGCATTCTACTATCATGGAAATATGAACTTTGAAATTAAATTGTCTCTAAGGCATCTTTCAACTGTAACATTATTGAAAGTATAACTACATTTTGCAAAATGAACACCAATGTTTTATCTTCTTGGAGGCAGGTAACAGGGAGACCCTTTCCTAAAAAGAGGAAGATAAATGATTATGTTTAGAAGTAAGAGAAACACCATGCATTGTCTAAATTTAATCCTTGTATTATCCTTAAGAGAATAGCTACAATTTTTCCTATTTTATTTTTCAGATTAGGAAATTGAGACTCAAAGAGATAAAGCATCTTGCTTCAAATGATGTATTATCTAAGTTAATCCACATATTCTTCTTACAGAGTAACTCTAAGTATACTTGTTTTGCAGATAAGGAAACTGAGATTAATTGAGAGTAAGTGACTTTCTTCAAGTCACACAGGTGGAAAGAAACAGCAGGCAATTGAACTTACTGTCACCCAACTCCAAAGTCTGTGCTCAAACATTTGGCTATGTTTGCTCTGGGTACAAAGATCTGTAGTAACAGTAGGCAGGCATCAATTGAAAATTTGACTTTTTCTCAATTTTTCAGAAGCTATTTTATGGAATTAAGAAAAGTTTCAAGAAAGAAGGAAAAAAATAGGCAAATGTTGAAGAACTGCGAAGAAGAAAAGGAAGAACACCTAGAGAGAGAATGGAAGAAAAAGTGAAGGTACAGAAATGAAACCAACATTATGTCAGCTCCCTTATGTACAAAGGGAAGGATATTTTTAACACCTTTATTAAGGTATAATTGACATAAGCTAAATTGTGCATAATGAATGTTTTTAATTTGGTAAATTAGGCACCTAAAAACACATCATCACACTCAGTGTGTTGAGCCTATCACCACCAGCAAAAATTTCCTTGAAATCAACCCATAAAAGTGAGGGTTTATATCTGGACTCACTATCTTGTTCTGTATGTCTATCTTTATACTAATATACTATGTTTTAACTACTGCAGCTTAATAATCAGTATTGAAATTGGGTAGTGGTAATTCTTTTAAAATGGTTTGAGTATTGTAGATCCTCTACACCAACACATTTCTAAAAAAGAATTTTGATTGGGATTGCATGGAATCTTTAATTCAACTGTGGGGGGAAATTGGTAGCTGACCAATATTGAGTCTTTAAACCCATAAAAACAATATAGCTATCTTTTATCTTATTGCTCTTCTCTTAGCAAAGTTTGTGGAGTTCAACATGTAGGTCTTTCATGTTTTTTGGCCCATTTATCTATAAACATTTCATATTTTAAATATTTAAAAAATTTTAAGTTTCTGAATGTTTGTTGTTACTATGTAGAAATGTACCTGAGTTTTTAATATTGATCTGGTATCCTGCAACCTTGGTAAGCCCACCTTTTTGATCTAGTAGAAATTATAGAAATTGTATCAAACTAATGATATCTTTTATGTCTTCCTTTTCATTTTACATGTCTTTTTAAAATAACCTTATTATAATGGCTAAAACTTCCAGCAAAATGTTGAGTAGAAGTGTTGAGAGCAGACATCCTTGTCTTGTCCCTGATCTTAGCAGAAAATCATTCAGTTTTTCTTCATTAAGTGTGTTGCCAGCTATAGGTTTCTGGAGTTGACTTTGTTAGATTAAGGCATTGTCCTTCAAATTCTAGTTAGGTAAGAATTTTAAAAGAAATGAATGTTGTATCCTATCAAGTGATTTTTTCTGCCTCTAATGCATTTAATTAATTTTTCTTTTTTATATTACTAGTATGGTCAATTATATTCTTCAATTTTCACATGTTAAACCAACCCTGAATTCCAAGGATAGAACCATTTTGTCATGGTATAATATCTTTTTCATAAATTATTAGTCAGTTTGTTGTTTTGTTCAGAATCTGTAGTTACCCTTTCTTATAAAGTCTGGTTTCCTGCTTAAAGGACTTGATTTAATATTTCTTATAACATGGAATCTCCTGGTGATGATTTTTTCCCTATTTTTATACATCTAAAGAAGATTTTATTTCAGCTTCATTTTTAAAATTTATTTTTCTGGGTATATAATTCTAGATTTACTATTTCTTTGAGTTTTTTCCCTTTCAGCACTTTATAAAGATGTTTCACTATCTTGTACTTCCATTGTTTCTGTTAAGAAATTGCTATAATCCTTACCTTGGTTTCTCTCTCCCTCTCTTTGTGTGTGTGCACACATACACACACACATCTTATGTATGTATAATTTATTTTCCTTTTTCCTAACTCTTTTTATCCAGGCTTTGAAAAATTTTATTATGCTGTAGATTGGTGCCATTTTTCTCAATATTTCTTGTGCTTGTGGTTCATTGATCTTATGGGTTTAAATTTTGGCCATAATATCTTCAAATACCTCTTCACATGCCCCTCAGAGACTCTAATTATATATACATTTACTATCTGTTGTTGTCCACAGCTAAGTAATATTCTGCTAATTTGCTTTCATTATTCCCTTTTCTTCATGTTTTATTTTGGATACTTTTATTGCTGTCTTCAAGTTCATTAATCTTTCTGTCTGCAATATTTATTCTGCTATTAATCCTATATGTAGACTTTTACATCTCAGACAGTAGTTTTCAATTCAGAAACTCAATTTTGGTTATTTTTATCTTTCATATCTCCTAACTTTTTGAACATGTGGAATGTAATTATAAATCATGTTGAATGCCTTTGTCTTTTGATTCTAATATGTGTGTCAGTTCTGATTGATTTAATTACTCATGAAGGGTTTCATTTTCTGACTTCTTTGGTAATTTTTAACTGGATGCCAAGGATTTTATATCCTTGGTGCTGGATATTTTTATTTCCACATTGATATTCTTGAACTTTGTTCTGAAACATAGTCGATTAACTTGTAAGTAGTTTTATCCTTTTATGTCTTGCTGTTACAGTTTTTTAGGTAGGATAGGAACAGTGCTAATCCCAAGGCTAATTAATCCCTACTACTGAGCTTACTCCCTTTTGTGTAGTCTACCCAATGCCCAGTGAATCTGGTGGGAACTGGCACTACTGCTGAACCGCTGTCAATGCCAGGTACTGCTCTTGTTAATCCTTTGAATGATTTTCTCCAGCTCCATGTATTTTTCCCATAATGAGCAATAATTGGTACTCAACTGAATTCTCTACAGTTACCCTCTGAGATAGCTATATTTCTCTCTTTGTGTAGCTTTCTCCTCTTTTGTGTTCTGTCTTGTGACATTACATTCTCATTCCCATTTCTTCAACTCAGGGAGTCTTCTGGGCTCTGAGTTCCTTCTTCCTACTCTGCAGACTGAAAATTATGCCAAGCCATTGAATTGAGGCAATCAGAGGGCTCGTATAATTTATTTATGTTTTTCAGATGTTACTATCCTTCTTTGTCTAATATCCAGTGTTTTGAAAATATTTTGGTTGTTTCAAGCAGAAGTATAAATCCAATCTTGTTACCTCATCTTCATTGGAAGCAGGTATCTTCCCGATTTATTTAAAGGCATTTATATTATAAACATTCAGTGGTACTAAGAATGTTTTGTGTGGAATTCTGAATTACTGAAATACAGAAAGGAAAAATGTCTCCAACCATACCCGCTCCTTCAACCTACTTTAAAAATGTTACTTGCAAAAATATCTCTGCTTTCTGACATTAATTCTATCTTTTATAGCCAATTTTTTTTGACAGGATAAATTACTGTCTTTTACTTACAACTATTTGAAGTACAGGAAATAGCACTGGGAGTGAGTTGGAGACTGGTGTCTGGATCCAGCATTACCACTTTCGGAAAGCATGACCTTCAATGTCATTTGTCACCTGCCTACAAACCCCACCGTCATTACCTATAAAATGTTGATAATAGTACCTGCCTTGTGTGCCTTACAGGACTAGTATAAAAATGTACTGCAATTATAAATGTAAGCAGCCTTTTCACTGATAAAGTATTACAACAATATATGAGTTATTATTACAATTATAGCAATGTGCTTTTGGGAAACTTAAACTTGAAAGATTATACACAATAACAGCTCACTTTCTTATGCTCAGGATTATCTCCTAGACATATTCACTCAGACCTGTATGGAATCACTTAGCTGTAAAATGCTATACTTTATTCTTTGAAATGTGCAATGGAGAAATAGAGTATTGTACTTTAAAATCAAGTACATTTAAATCATACTCAAACTTTGCTATTGTGTCTTCTTGAGGAAAGTATTACACCACTCAGTTTTCTAATATCTAAAATGAGAAGAGTAATACCACCTTTGTCAAGTTTTTGTAAGGAGAAAATCTGGAAAAGCATTTGAAGAACTGGTATATTGTTAACATCAGTAGAAGTTATTCTAAAATGTTATCACTATTCCATTAAAGAAGCTATGTGGACACAGTTCCATTCTAAAGGAGTAGGTTCTTCTCTCATCAAAGCTCAGTAGCTCAATACTCAGATACCAAACCTCAGTCATCATTGACTCTTTCCTATTCCAGTATTTCACACCCCATCAGTTCACCAATTATTTTAGCACCTCATCCAGACTTTCTACTCCTAATGCCATTGTCTTCATTTCAGTTTCACTGGTAATTTCCTTTCCTCTCACCTGTGTATCACTGGATAGAATCCTAACTAAATTATTTACCTAAGTTTTCTCTGCATCAATCTGTGCATTACATTTGACCCCATATTCTAATAGTATAGCTCTAGTCATGACACATAATTCCAGAAATCTTTAATTGTTCACTTTAAATACAGAATGAAATCAAGATTTGGCATAGAGATTCCTTCCAAGCTGGTCACTGTCTTTCTTTCCACACACCTCCTTCCACATAGCCCAGTGCACTGGCTGCATTCACTCTGGGCAATCCTCCTTGGACATGTTTGGCAGTATTTGCCTTGATCATGTTATTTAAGTTTTACTTTTTGGAATTTTCTCACTGCCACCTATCTATAATATTTATTCAATCATTTGTAAACCTATTAAAAAATAGCTTCATTTATAGTACTCTCACAATATATCTGCCCTTGTTCTAAGAACATTATTCTATCTGATATAATCTAATCCTTTCCACACGATGTCATCTCATCATCCATGCACATTTTTAGACAAAGAAATCAAGTCACAGTTAAGTACCATTCTATGGCAAATAGCAAGTGAGGGGTAAACATGGTTGTGACAAAGCATGTACTATAAATACAAACCCGACAGCCTCTCCTCAAATTCTAGTTTTTCCCAGATTGCTCTCATGTATTCAATTATTCTCTCTCCTGGCTTCCATTGTTCCTTATTTTTTGAATATGTATCAGTTTTACAACCAGCCTTATATTCTTCCATATGAGTCCATCACCTCCTTAATTGAAACTAAGTGCTTGAAAGGCAGGGACCATGTCTTATTTGCGGTTAGTAACTCAGGAGGCTGATGTGGCTTTAAGTCTCAGCCTTTTCACTTAAGTGTTGATTCACCAATTTCAAGTTATTCACTACAGACCTGAATTTCCTCAAAAATGGGATTAATAGTAATATCCAGTTTACTAAGACACTGAAGATAGAAAGTGATTGAGCACTACATGTATTGTTAGGCCTACATTAGGAGTCAATGCCTTTAGCAATATTTAGTACTAGTATTTGATGTTCATGCGTATTTATTTCTCTAGTATTGGAATATTTTACTCTCTTCTTCTAATAACTCTCCTTCTTATAGTGGTACTGTATGG